CCCAGGGGGGATGGCCATGCCACAATCCCTTCTCCTCCATTCTCCTCTCGGGATCTTGGGCACGCACGCACACGCGCCCAGTGTGAGTCTAAGTCACCGGGTCTGGGATGCGAACTGCAGTCGACTACATGGGAATCCAGCAACATAGCCATTACGCTAACTGCTGGTCCCACTCCAGTGGATTTTAACACTGTGACCACTGCACTCAGATAAAAACATGTGATGTATTACTAAAAAGAATAAGCTGGGAGCCGGCTAGGTCTGTGGTGGCTAAGGTGGCTGGTTCCCACATGGCCAAATGTGCAGTTTGAGTCCCAGACTTGACAGCTTAAAAAACACCCAGCGTGTATGTGTGTGTGTGTGTGTGTGCTTAAAATCCCTAGAGGAAAATGGAAGTCAAAGCATTGCAGTATGGCCATCCCCCCTGCGGGAGATGCTTTCTCACTTTCCTTCTCTCTGTCTCTCTGTGTCTCTCTTTGGTGAACGCACATGCTCTATAGCAAATTAAAAGAAAAAAATCTATTTTAGGGCCAGCAGATGGCAAAGCAGTTACAACTCCCACATGGCCAACCGTAGTTTGAGTCCTGGACCCAATGGCTTGAAAACCACACCAGGCGCATGGGCATGCATGCCCAAGATCCCAGAGGAGAATGGAAGAGAAGGGATTGTGGCATGGCCATCCCTCCAGGGGTGATGCCTTGCTTTCGCTCTCTCTCTCTCTCTCTCTCTCTCTCCAGCAAGCACAAGTGCCTAAGGCGAAAACCTCTGACAACAAAAAAACTCAGTGTTTAAAGGGGAAGGCGTAAATCACAGATGTCTTCAAGTCCTTCCCAAAGCCCCGTCCTGCAGACTGGGTGTGCAACCACAGCTTCCCGTGATACGAATCCCATGTGCAGCACCAGGACCTTGGTGGTTGGTTCTATGAGCTTTTCTCTGGAAGTCTGAGGCCCCTGGGATTCCTCAAGTGTCCCTCACAGAGAGAAGGCACACAGGCCATCCGGGAAGACACACTTTCTCCGGAAGGAGGCCCTAACAAGCATCTACACAACTCATGCTGCAGAATGAGGCTTGGCCAGAGACACTGGGCATTGCGAGAGTAGGGACCCTCCAAGCATCCAGCCTCCAGATGGTTGGGGGGGGGTCCCATTAACCACATACAACGTAGAAGAAACCACTGGGTCTGGGACCAGCGGTTAGCGTAATAGCTATGTTGCTGGACTCCCATGTAGTAGACCGTGGTTCAAGCCCCAGATCCGTGGGCTTAAACTCACGCCAGACGCGTGTGCATGCGTACCCAAGATCCCGAGAGGAGAATGAAGGAGAGTGTATTGCACCCCTGGGGGGTGATTTCTCGCTTTCTCTCTCTGTCTTTCTGGTAAGCGCACACGCCCTATAGCAAAAAACACTCCAAAAAAAAAATGTTTATGAAACGGTGCTAACGTTACTTTCACCCGACCCCCGGCAACATCTGATAGCACGGGTTTGGGGATATTTCCAGCTCTGGCTCAGGCTGGGCGGGGCTGGGGCCAGGACTGGAGCAGCATAATCAGGCACAGGTGTCACCCGGAGGGTGTGGCGGTTCGGGCCTTGCTTCTCTGAGTGGTACCTGTTTGTGTTCCTCTGCACCTGTCATAACAGGGACCCACGCTGCCCACCTCTGACCTGCCCAGAGACCTGGAGGAAGCTGGGGCTGCGGGCACGTCTCCCATGGTGCGTTCTGGTCACTGCTCTGAGAACAAACAAAGCAACGGCCCACAGCCATGACCAGCAGCCTATAGCCAGATCATTCCAGCAAAATAAAAACGGTTTGGAAGGACCAGCAGCTGGCATAGGGGTTAAGGCGCTGGACTCCCACGTGGCCGACAGTGGTCCGAGTCCCGGATCCCTCAGCTTGAATCTCATGCCAGGTGTGTGTGTGCACGTGTCCAAAATCTCAAGACGCGTGTGGAGAAGGGATTGTGGCATGGCCATCTGGGGGGTCGGGGGACTTTTGATTTCTCACTTTCTTTTTTTTTAATCTTTTTTTTGGGGGGGGAGATTTTTGCTGTGCGCTCTCCAGAAAGACTTCCTTTGTCTGTACCATGAACACACGCACCCTATAGTATCTCTCAAGGGACCAGCAGGTGACGTAATGGACCAGCAGGTGAAGCAATGGTTATGTTGCTAGATTCCCATGCAGTCGACTATGGTTCGAGTCCTGGACCTGGGCCTTGAAACGCACCCTGGGTGCGTGTGCGGGCGGTCCCAAGATCCCGAGAGGAGAACGGAGTAGAAGGGATTGCAGCGTGGCAGG